AGTGTTAAAATGTTAAATTATTGACAATTTTCCAGATGACTTTCTCGGTGTACAAGGAAAGCATAACTAGAGAATAATTACTCCCTTTGGAACCAGTATTCTGTGGCATCGCATACGATAAAAAAGGGCTCCTACGCGAGATAGCATGAGATGCCCCATTTTTCACTCCCAGGTCGTCGTAAATCAATGGTCTACAACGTGGTGCGGCCGCTAAAGGGTAATACTTAGAGGCTGAGGTGCGATAATTGGTGCCTGCTCAAAAATACTAACAGGGATTCTAGTAATGGGAAAGATGAAGAGGTGAATTTAACGGTCAGAAACCTGCGAAAAAACCCATGTCCTGCATGGCATTGGAAGGGCATTTTTGGGTACAGTATGCTTCGCTGCGGACGAAGGGGTGCATCAGGCATTGTTCACAGCCTATGACCCTAACGAAAGGCGGAGAAAAGCAAAAATAGTTATCGCCGCTAGTTTCGCCGAACCGCCGCGTTCCAGAGAAACGCTTGACCGCAGACTGTGAACAATGCATCGGGCGGGATGAGCTTGGCTCGGTGCCAGATCCGTTCTTCACCAGTTGTTGAGGCGAACAAGTGACAAGACTGATGATATCGTTCTTGTCCCTCGTTTTCTATCAATGTTATCGCATACCCGCTTCAACAACTGGGAGGGAACGGGTTTGGCGCCGTGGCACACTCATGCTGCCTGACACGCCCCTTCAGCCGTAGCGAACTAATAGATGTTAGACTCTCATATATGAATGCATATGATATGGATGCAACAGCGTCCATATCAATTTTACTTCATAAATCGAAAGATAAAAGTTCCAGCGTCGATGTGACTGTGCGGCCATTTATGGGCGGGCGGTTGCGATGGGCGTCCGGGTCGGCATGTTGCACCTTGGTTGGATGCTGTAACGGAGGCCTTGGATGAAAAAGCCACACAGCGCCTGCGAAGAGGCGAAACATTCTGTCGTGCTTGGCGTATCCGACCCTTTATGCCTTTATCGTGCCACTTGAGAGTGAGCGCTCAGCCAATTTGTGGCATGCTTCTTTGTTCAAGTAGTTCGGATTGCGATTTGTGTCACTGCTCCACTTTCTGGCTGCACAACGAGTAAGAAGAGCACTACTGCCGTCGAAGGTATAAGATGAAAAAAGTTGAAGGTATGTACCGTACCTTAGAGGTGCCTCGACTATCGACCAGTATTTTAGTGATAATGTCCGCGAGTAGAGGCTATTCATGCCGTGCGGTACCAACCCGCAATTTCCTTCGCCTACGATCTTCGGGCTCGCTCTCCAGTGCGTGATTTGAGGCCCTTAGAACTCCTTTGAATGCCTCTTTCAAAGAGGTGCCGGTGCTGTAAAAAGCTTTTTTGCCGTTGTGCTACGGGTTGTGCTGTTTCTTGCCTCGTAAAAATTGTTACAGTGATCGGAGTCGGACAGCCCGCTAACGAAATGTGGCTAATGCCGTTTGGACTCCAGAAATTTCGGCTCCGAGCTCATTTTAAAAGTGGCAAGATCACCAAATCCGCTAAAAACTTGTATATAGGGGTAATTCAACATCCTGATCACGAATATGACATTCATTTTTGGCGCTGGCGCTAATGGATGACACTACGGTTACCTGCGCTCTGCTAAGGCTGAGCCCAGGAGGTAATCGTAGTGTCCTCTCTTGGCGCCAGCGCCAAGAATGAGTGTCATACTCGTAATCAGGATGTTGAATTACCCCTATATACAAGTTTTTAGCGGATTTGGTGATCTTGCCACTTTTAAAATGAGCTCGGAGCCGAAATTTCTGGAGTCCAAACGGCATTAGCCTCCTTGTGAGGGTGAAACGTAAATCAACAAAATTACGTCATACCT